CCCCCCCCCCTTCGCGTGGGGTTCAGGGCCCGCTGAAGGCCCCCCGAAAATTTAGTTTTTCAGAGGGCAAACAGTGCCATTTGCTACGGTTTAGATCTATGATTCAGCTAGTCAAAATTCTAATTTCAGGAGGGGACCATTCATGTGACCTTTTTCAGAAATCGAAGGGGGGGTCAGGACCCCCAGACCCCCTCCAAATCTGTGTGTATATAAATATATATATATATAGTTGAATTTTTAAAATTCCTTTTGTGTGTAGTAATTTATATTTATAGAAAAAACACTGAAAATTTGTTGCGAGATCTTTCGGCCCTACTGGGCCTCTTCAGGGTTTATTTGGATGTGATTATGACATCATAGCTGTGAATTGTCATGTCATAGTTGTGACTTAATTGACAATCACATTTGGATAAATAATAAGATTGAGTGCACTTACATCACATTCAATTTTGACTCAAATATTTTAATAAATTGTTCTTCTCAAGTCCTACTATTAGCTTCTACACCTCAATAATTGTGATAGAAGGGGAAATTTGAATTTTTACTGTAGCACAGGATTCTAGGTGCCCATTCATTGGAACCTGTTTCCCATGTTTATGCCTGATTTTGTCCCCCCCCCCCCCAAAAAAAAAAAAAAAAAAAAAAAATGCCGCAGGGGGTGTTTGCTTCAATTTATGAATAATGGGGAATGGGGAAGAAAATGCTCACCATTTAAAATGTTTGCTAGATATGAATAATAAAATCTCACCAAATACCTTTTATGAGGGCAGAAGTTATCAGGCATAACCATTTACTATTAATCTTGACTTACATTTAAAAAAATCTTTATTTTTTCAAAAAACGCCTCAAATTTTACCTCATTTAATTATAGGTCATGCAATATTACAAAACTTACTTTACTGATTTCTTTAGAATTATCCTTCAGCTGCATAATGATACAAAAATCATTGCTCCTTCTTTTGCGATTTTCATATCATGGATGTTTTTCTTCCCCCTATCCACATCGTAATAGATGTAGTCATTTAAGCAACAGGTTGTTATATAAAGAGCAATAACACAAAGAGAGCTGATTTTCAAAAGTGCAACCACACATAATCTGACTTCTGTCGAAAACCTCCTTTATACTGGATGGTTTTCTTTCTGTATCCTGGCAACGTGTGGTCACAGAAAGGAGGCACATGCATCGCTTTGGTTGCAAAATAAATTCCCAATCAGCGGCTTGTTGTCGGCATGTAATTTTTTTTTACTCTCAAATGCAGGCCTACCCAACTACCAGACTCGGCACCGAATGATCCCGAATTCACCGGTAGATCAGACCACACTACCCGTTTTCAAGGTGTGTGTCAGATCGCATTACACAGTATCATACCCTGAACAAATTTTGAGTGGTGATGCAATGTTTTTCAACCCCGCTGAGAATCGTCACTATGACATCGCGTACTAGGCAAGAGCGGTGTAGCGTCTGATACTGTTTAATGCGATCTGATCGATCTACCGGTGAATTCAGGATCATTCGGTGCCGAGTCTGGTAGTTTGGTAGGCCTGAAATGGGGGCGTATTACAGGACACAGAAAGGACACCGTGCTTTCACATGATACTAACGAAACTCGGTCACCCGATTAGTAGGGACGTACCCCTGTGCCTGACATACTGTGCTATCCCCTAGGTCTTTTCAGAGCTCATAAGATAAAAAATCACTAATAGCTTCTTACTGTTCTCAGGTAAATGTTCATGTTTTTATTTCGTAGTAATAAAACTTTTTTTGACATTGGTGACCATTTTTATTTATATTGTATTTCATATCACAGTTTAGTTTTTGATTTTGTTCAGAAGTTGTTTGAATGGGAGATCATTTATCAAGACAATGAGCACGAGTTTACCTAGGATGGATCCTCCAGACACACCACAGATGATGGGCATAGGATCAGATAAATTTCTAAATATAGTTTGTGGTTTCTGGCAGTGAGATCTGAGCCAAGCCATTTAACAGTATGAGTTGCACATTGATACAGCTCTAGTTTCTTTGATAACAACATCATGGGCTCTTTAACACGTAAGCATCGCGAATTGCCACCACACTCAAGCATAACGATTGATTGCTATTTGCGGTGGCTATTGCACCCACTTGCTAACTCGAAGCCTTAGCAAACACAACGCAATATTTGCGTGTCTGGGAGTACAATTTTAGTCTCAAACTGTACTAAAAGTTCGATTGCCGTACAAAGTAAAGACGTCATTACACAATTATACAGGTACATAATGTAATTTTATTTCATTGTGATGCTAATCAAGATTTTTTTTTAATTTAAAAGGTATATGACAATTACAAATACTGATATTTGAAGTGTTTGACACCAACGAAATGTCAAAAACCGTTCAATAAATGAAGCACAGCTGTTATAATGGACTGATACAAATAGTGATTTATTGGTGAGGAGTGTTCAGTCTCATAATACACACTAAGTAGGGTCACTGTGTGACCTAATGCTTCGTTTCTGCTTTTTCATTTTGTGTACAGAATGAAACATTTCCACTTATGATTATTAACAAAAGACTACACAGATGTATTTTCATCAGAAAATATCAAATAATATATGAAATGTTTATTTTTGAAATTGTATGCATAATAATACGTGCCTTTATAAAATGTTCAACAGTAAATTTTTTTAGTCTCATGAAATAATGTTATATATATATAGCATTCTTTACATGAAAATTTACCACAAGTTTTTTCTACCAGACATACCAAGTGACTGAATCTTTTATAAGCTTCCATGGGGTCCATCATGTTGAAGCTTCAACAGTCAGGTATTAATAAATTTTTAAAAATCAGCTTTTCTCTCAAGATTTCATATCCTGTCACCCTTGGTTTTGAGACCAGAATGTTATGCCATTTAGAATTCCCTATCCTTCAAGAAAATTGTAATTCATATCAATTGCAGCTGTATTTATTTGTTGATGTGGAGCACATGTACATGCTGACAGTAAAATTGACAAAGTTAACAGTTAACATGGAACAATCTTATTTTCCTCTAAATCTTGTAAATGGTTTAGGATCACTTATTTGTGAACACATTATCATGAGGAATACAAATGGGAATACGGTCTTACTGTTATAAAATATGCAGATGGCAAAACTGCAAATTAGGGTCATTTAAAAAATGAAGCACTTTACAACTTGAAAGTTAAATGATACACTGTCTTTCAACTATGACATTATGACAAAGCAAGACCTAATATAATACAAATATAATACAAATAATAATATAAATATATTCACGTTCTTTTATTTCAACCACCTACAGGCATCAATATTTCATGAACTCTAGAGAAGAACAAATTGTGCTCTATTTATATCTCTCTTTCCCCATACAGAAACGGTCTATAACTAGTGAATTGAATATTAAAGGACTTTAAGACAACTGTTAAATTGATATAAAAATATACAGGAAAAAGATTATATATTAAAATGCCCAATTTGTCACTTCCTGCACAAATGTATCTAATGAACACTTGTTACATGCCTCTAAGGCAATGGAATTGTTACTAAATCAGTCATTTCATAATCCACGACAAAAATGAAGAACAATAAATACACAAAACGTGTAATACTAGGGTGTGTATGACAAAAGCAGTGAAGAATCTTCAAAATAAGTTTTAAGATTGATTTTTGTGTTTAATCTGAAGCAATAGTCCTCATGGTTATCTTCAAGCAAGCACTCTTGTTCTCAGGATGAGGAGGAAATGCTATAACTACTGCTCCTCTCTGATCTTGGCTTTGATGCCTCCCTTCTCTTGATCCCGTTCCTGGATAAGGATCCACTGCTACAATGAATTCACTTACTCATTTATATCAAACAAGATGTGGTCTTAAATAATACAAAACTAAAGGATCAGAAAGGCGATACTGCCTCTGAGTATTGTACCACCAGCTGGAGTAAGAGCATTTGTATGGTAAAAAAAAAAAAAAAAAAAAAAACTACCAAAGCTGGCAAATATGCAGACACAATACAGGAAACAAGGCAG